AAAAAAAAAAACAGTTTCATGAGAAGGATTGTAACAAAAGCAAAATCGCTGAGTGAGTGTTTAGCTGATGAAAAGAAAAGTGGGAACAATACATGAACTGATGAGTTGATGTTTAATTAATTGTTATAATAATAATAACAATAATTTACAAAGGCTAGTGGGTGTGGAAAATAGATAGACTTGATGTTGAAATTAGATAAAAATAGTGGGAAGTGTCGTCTAAGCAGAAGTATCTGCAAACAAAATCGGGTTAAATAACAAAACTTGTTCTTAACATGATATATGATTATTGTATGTCGTAAACAAATACGGTATAGTTTAGTTTCATTATCTATGATTTGGTCGATGTCATATTTTAACGAGTCATTGAGTTCATGAGTCCCATCACAGCAAGAGGAATTTGAGTTAGACCATCCAATTGAAGTGTTCCCATTCCAATTCCCATGACGGTTCTTGAAGCTGTTCCTCGTTCCAATTTCTGCTACTTGAATCTCCAGCTTCTGGGAGCTGAGAAAGCTCAGAAAGCTGAGAAAGTTGGAGCAAGTGAGAAACTTGAGATGAACTTTGATGAAGACGTGACTCTGCTCCTTCTGCCTCTGATGGACGGCGATCAAATGCTCGAAAGCTTCCAGATACGATATACACCCGATATAAGCTGAACTCGCATCTCAACTACACGCCATACATCAAAGATTACGATAACGAACATCAAAATTAAACATGTGAATGTGATGTTAGGAAGAGAAAGAGACGAAGAATTTGCAATTGTGTGTGTACCTGAGGGGTGACGGGGTTGGAGATGGCTCTGTACTCGTTCATCTTCCATTTGGTTTTTCTTCCCATAGGAGCTTTTCCTTTGTAGAACACCATGGATTTCTTCACCCCAATAACTCTGTTATCAGAAGAATAAACATAGCCAGGTGAACCAGTAGCTTTCCAGTACCCAGAAGCTGTGGTTCTGCTAGGTCTCCCTCCTCTGGCTTCTCTCTCTTGCCCAGGCGAAAAGAAAAACCATTGCTCTGTATCCCCACGGCAAAGCTCCCCCGCAAGTGCTGCAAACAATTATTTTACAAAAACGAGTGAATCATATGCACAAAAGTTTGCTTATTTATTTATTTATTTATTTATTTATGAAGCACATACTTGGGAGGTTCCATGGTTCCAGGGCATTGATATCAACAACTGGAATAACTCTATCTATGGCAGCAGTAACAGCAGCAGCATTATTTCTTGAAGCTTCTAGCTTGTTGTGTAGGTAGAAGCCAACAAGCTCTTCTTCTGTCGGGAAAAAGCGAAAACCAGGTGGATGATCTTCCATGATGTTTGGCATAATTTTGAGGTCTGTTTTACTTTTGTGCACATTGGAATGAGGTGAATATATATGTATAAACGAAGGAGAAGATTGAAGGAGAAAAAGGTAGGGTGGTGGGGCAGAGAGATTCAGCGTGTAAATTTAGAAAATTGGCAAGTTTTGATGGAAACTTTTACGCGGTTATGGGAAGGAGAAATCGTCTATGTTATCCATGTTGGATACCTTATGATGGCTACATACCTATAATATCCAATAAAATGTTATTTTGAACAAGTCCTCCTCTCTCCAAAACCATATGACAGAGAGACAAAAAAAAAGTCTGCTTCTTTCAATTTCTCACTCGTTCTAGGTATCGGCAAATGCAATCATTTTATGTTTAAGTCAGCTAGGTTTTTGTGTAACCAAACCTAATTAATTCTTTCCAACCCTAATTTTGCAGAGATTTTTTGTCAACATGTTAATGGACATTTCTTCTGCGGATCTATCATCTATGCAGGGCAATCTCACTGGTGGAACAAGTCAGATATGTTATGTTTTCTTTTCCTCTCCACGAAATAATGTAGTTTATTATTCCCATTTTATTTCGTTTCATAAAATAAATGTTTTTATTGTATAATAATTGTTTTAAAATAGGAATCACTTAATATTTCACCCGAGTCATGTGAATTGAAAAACATTAAAAAACAATATTTTTTTAATTTCATTAATCTCTGTTTTTTTCAAAGTCCACTTATTGAAACTTTACATCGTAAATTAGACTAATCACTTAAAATGACATTACTGTTAAATAAAGGGTGCTGAGAAAATTTTATTTAAGTATGGTGTATCTGATAAAATAATTGTTTGTATCTAAATCTACGAAAATTTATTGTTTTTTATTACACATGAAATCCAATTATATAAGTAAGCGTAATAATAATAATTATTATTTTTATATCTTATTTCATTATGGATATAAATAATTTATTCATCATCTATGTTATTTTTATATCTTATTTCATTATTTATATTTATGTGCTTTGTCCTCACTCGCACACTTTCCGCGAAAACTTCCCAGAAGGTCACCCATCCCTAAATTGCTCCAGGTATCCTCGATTAATGAAGCCTTATATGCTTGAATTTTAGGTTTCTAGTATTAAGCGAAAGGTTATACCTATAATTATGGGGTTAGGTCAACCCCAAATTACTAGTACTGATAGGCAACATTGGCAAAAAAGCACTACGCTTGGGAATCAAGGACACGAAAACTTTGTATTTATCTATATCTATGGCTTATCGAGATTGGGACTAACAGGAATGGTTGGGACAATAAATATCCATCTCGTTCATATTTTGGATACCCATAGAACCATCGAAGATTATTGAGGTGACTAATTCCAGGAAATTAAGCAGCGTAGAGGACAAAGAAATTTGTCCTCACTCGCACACTTTCTGGGAAAACTTCCTAGAAGGTCACCTATCCCTAAATTGCTCCAGGCTAAGCACGCTTAACCATGAAGTTCTTATGGGTCAGGCTACCGAAAAACAAATGCATTTTGGTTATATGAGTAGCCAAATCAATTCCTTTAAGCTATCTTTCAATTGTATAGTCCCATACCTATACAGTCTCCAGATCCCTCTCATTCCGGTGTATGTCCGATTCGTCCATGTACCCCTTCCACTGAAAGCCTGCCAGGAGCCGCTCATTGTCCGTGACGCTTTGCACCGGCGATCACTCCCCGCCCTCGTCAGTGCCCGGGCGTCACACTTGCAATATAAATATGAATCTTGAAAATATAATAGTCTCTATTTTCACATAAACATGTTGTGTGTGTGCTTATGTCTTTTTTTTTTTACTTTGTGATTCAGTAAAAATAT